CTGGGTCCGGGGCCTCTGTCTGGCCTCCTGCTAGGGTTGCCACACTGACATCACTCGTTGCCAGGAGCTGGGCAGGATGCCAGCCAGAGCGTCACAGGTTGCTAAGAGCAAAGCAATGGTGTGAACCAAGCCCACCCGTGACAAGGCAGGCTGCCTTGTCATGAGTTCAGTCTGCACTGGGTAAAACACCCAGCGCAGCGCAAATCCTGTGTGAGCGGGCCCTCGATACAGAAAATACCCGATGATCTCAGCAGAAATCTTTTTTTTTTTTTTTTTCAAATTCTTTATTTATGAACAAGAGGGTGGGATACAGAGAGAATAAGCAAAAATAGGGGCCACATGGCCTCACATCATTCCAAGTCAGTCAACCTGGCCGCAAAGGCTAAGACTAAGGAAGTGCGAACATCCCATTCTATATCAGAACATACATAATATCTAATATATATAAATGATGACGGTTCAGGTTAGGTCGTACTCTCTTCTTCCCATCTCTTTTTATTTATAAAACAAGAAATAAACATTACTATTTGGTAGACCGTATGGTCCAGCCCACTATCGTGGGAGGCCCGTACCATTTCGGTCCACACCTAGGGAGTACACACAGAAAGACAGAACAAACAAGAGAAAACAAAGTAGCAAAAGAGTGAACGACATACAACACACCAGGAGAGGAAAGGGGAAATTCCAGGTATCGTCAGTTCCAGGCCGTCCGGCAGGGAACACTTCTAGCCGTACCCCAGCAGGGCAACAATGCCCCTTCTTTGAGCCATCCTATCCCTCTCTTCAGATCCGGCGCACATCAGAGAAGTCAGCTGAGTCTCTGAACAGGTACCAAGCAGCCCATGTAGCAACAAATCTGGCCTGGATCCCGTCCAATGAGAAGGTCAGGTCCTCCATCAGTTTGATCTCCTCCACTCGTCTAGCCCACATCTTGATAGAAGGCTGGAGGGACTGCTTCCATAGAGCCGGAACGCAGGCCCTTGCCGCATTCAGCATGTGAATGAGGAATGAGCAACGATAAGAAATCTTTTTTTGCATAAACTAATAATCTCATTACTTCCCGTGTAAGAGAACTGAACAATGGCAGACATGTTTGAAGCCCAGCCTATGTGACAGCCATGGCTCCCTCCATAGAAGCAGTGGAGTAATGAGCACAGCAAGATTAACGGGTGAAAATAAAGGAAAAAGAAGACTGAATAAAGAAAACTAATGCAGTCATCATATCTACGGACTAGTAATCAGCAATATATACATTTTTGTTTTTGAGATTAGATTACCATAGAAACAGCTAGATACGCAGTTGAAACTGGACCATTAGCTGCAGCCAGTTTGTTAGCGGTCAGAAACGTAGTCGTTGGAGGCAAACTGTCTGCATTCGGGGCCAGTCATTGGTGGTGCCGGCCATTGATTTCTACATAAAGCAGTTAAAGGGGCCCTTAAAGCGGACCGTCACACATAAAAATAACATCCTCTCACTTGCCTCTTCCTCCAGCCTTTTCAACTATAAATACCATTTATTTTATCTTCTATTCAATCACTTCCTGAATCCTTGCCTAGGCGAGGATGACGTATCCGGCCACCCACTGCCTCCTGGGATGTCTATATCACACATCCCAGGAGGCAGTTTGCACAAGACGTGCATGTGCAGACTCGCTGCAGTTTTCAAACAGAGACCTATGCGCACACCAGATTCTCCCGTGAGTGCGCATACACGCTGTGTGTCTCTGCATGAAACTGCTGCATGTCTGCACATGTGCAAACTGCTCACTGGAATGTGTGTGCCAGGTCTCCAGCAGTGTGTCTGTGCACACGTGGAACCTATGGGACCTGGCATAGGTTCTCGCCGGTGCTCTATCAAACTTTGTGACTGGGTTGGAATGTGTGACCGGTCACGTGGTCACACATTTTAACGTAATCACGCCCAGTTTTTCGGCGGTGAAATGTGTGACCGCCAAAAGGTGAAGAATTCCAATGCTTTGCCAGCTGTTCCAGGGCAGATCGGCATCGCAGAAGAACCGATCTGCTCTGGGACAGCTGATCGGTCCTGAAATGTCACTTATATCCGACTTTGTAGAATGTGAGATCGCACTCACAAAGTTTGATAGAAGTGACATTTCAGGACCGATCAGCTGTTCCAGGGAAGATCGGTTCTCCTGTACATGCGATCTGCAATGCCGATCTGCCCTGGAACGGCTGAGAAAGAGTTGGAATGCTTGACCTATTGCCGGTCACACATTCCACCGCTGTAAAACTGGGCGGGATCACGTTAAAATGTGTGACTACGTGACCGGTAACACATTCTAACACAGTCACAAACTTTGATAGAACACCGGCTTCCTCTGGGTTCAGGATCTTGAGTGATCATGCCAGGCTAATGTAACTCCCATGCACATTCATTGCGCACCAGGGATAAGTCATCCCAGCAGCCAGCAGTTACCACAGTGGTACATTGTAAAGAGTTTGAGAAGAGGAAGGTAAGAATCCTTCACTGCAGAAGAGACATAGGGGGCCCAATAAACTATCAGCGATGCAACATTAAAATGGCGCACATTGAAACATTTTCACTCTAGAAAGAATGATTCGCAATGCACGTTCCTGTGAAATGGGACGTGTGTCACAAATACAAAAATCCCTATTTCTGACATTTCACAAAAATGTCCCAATTTGTACAAATTATACAGTGACTGAAAAGATTAAAAAATACATTTTGAGCGCAAAGGATAAGAGCAGCAGTGCACCAAGCAGTAGGTGGTTCACGACTCATCAACTATGGTCACTGCAATATAAGAGATATTTGTTGAAGTTTGTGAATTCTGAAATAAAACATCTTTCTAGTCTTACATTTTAACATTTTGGCTTTAAGAAACGAGTTATTCCATCTCCAGCAGCATCATCCTGAGTCAGAGAAGACCCTTCCAGACTTTTCCAGCAGGTGGCAGACATGGCACTATATTGGCTCATCAGTTCCGGAAACGGGAGACATTCAAATGATCCCCTCTTTATTACTCTATCAGATAAAGCTACAACCAACAGCAGGGGTTCTAAGACCCAAGAAGAGAATTCATACCAAAATGTCATCAAGACCACATCAAGACAAGAAGCAATAGCCGTATAATTTTAAAAAGAGCACACACAAAACAGTAGAATTATTAGTTCCCATTTAATTAGTTCCCATTTTATAGTTTGCCATGGACAGGGGTCCATATCCATGGAGAGATGGATAGATCAGGTGATAGCAGGGGTGTACCTGAAAGTGGAGAGGCTGCAGAGAGAATGGGGCACAGCAGGCCAGACAACTGCAGAGCATAGTGGGTGCACTCAGGAGCGCACTTGGAGTCACAAGGGCACATAGGAGCACATTTGGAGTTATGGGGGTGCACAGGGGCGCACTGGGGACACATGGGTCACCAGAGACACAGGAGCACACAGGGGTCCCTGGAGACACAGGAGCACTCAAGGGTCACCGGAGACACGGGCGCACTCAAGGGTCCCCGGAGACACAGGAGCACACGAGGGTCACCGGAGACACAGGAGCACACGAGGGTCACCGGAGACACAGGAGCACTCAAGGGTCACCGGAGACACAGGCGCACTCAAGGGTCACCGGAGACACAGGCGCACTCAAGGGTCCCCGGAGACACAGGAACAAACAAGGGTCACAGGAGCACACAAGGGTCACCGGAGACACAGGAGCACACAAGGGTCATCGGAGACACAGGAGCACACAAGGGTCACCGGAGACATGGGCTGACTCAAGAGTCACCGGAGACACAGGAGCACTCAAGGGTCATCGGAGACACAGGAGCACACAAAGGTCACCGGAGACACAGGCGCACTCAAGGGTCACCGGAGACACAGGAGCACACAAGGATCACTGGAGACACAGGCGCACTCAAGGGTCACCGGAGACACAGGCGCACTCAAGGGTCACCGGAGACACAGGAGCACAGAAGGGTCACCGGAGACACAGGCGCACTTAAGGGTCACTGGAGACACAGGAGCACTCAAGGGTCACGGGCGCAAAAGGGTCACGGTATACACAGGAGAACCAAGGAGTTACTGGAGACAAAGAAGCACACGGTGTCACCGGAGACCCAGGAGCGTACAGGGGTCACTGGAGATAGGCACTGAGGACTATTTTACAAAAGAGGTTAAACTCCTGAACGCATTGCAAATGTTTATACGGATTCAAAAACTATTTAAAGCTCGAGGCACTGATAAAGACATCACAT